CGGCGTTCGCAGAGATAAAGATGATCTCCGGGGAGACATACGCCAGTGGACAAGAGACACGGAGACACGAGCCATTTCCTGAGAGGAATCACCGGTCCTAGCCAAGAACCAAGGGACAATTTCCGGGATCACACGCACCGGTACTCCATATTACACATGAATTACGGAATTAAGTCAGACACTGGCAGCACGCGATCAAAGGCACTAATGCCTTGGAATTACCATGGAATTAGCATCCATGGAATTACTAATGAAGTGCCATGCTACAAATGCCATGCTTACAATTTACATGCTAGAGCTTCTTTAGTAAGCTAATGTTATCTCACGAGTGTTTTTATATACCTTGATCTCACGTATGTATAAAAGCACCATTACCTCTAGGCTCCAGTTCACTCCCACTCCCATTCAATTTGTGGCATGAGTTTTTTTTCTCACCCATTTGTCTATCATCGATGACGATTCTCTGAATACTCGTAGGTACTTGTCATATCGCATGCCGAGGTAAGCATTTCATATATTCCCTTTTACCGCCGTTTACTCACTTTCCCACGATCAATGTCATCCTACCTCGCCATCCTCACACGACTCTGCGTCGTTTATCAGACGCGGCATCAAAGCGTCTCCCATATCCCACCAGTCCCACCACCGGCCCTCTCCCCACCACCCTCGCTCCCCATTACCGTCAGCCACCGTCCCGGTCCCAATCCGCTGATGGCATCTGCTCCCAACGAGCACATCAAAGCCCATCAAAGGCCGCAGTTGAGCCGCGCTACTTTTCTTCAGATGGCGGCGACATATGTGATGCGGTATACATTACAAGTTCTACTAAACGTAACCTGTTTGTCCGCGGTGGGTATCTGGGTTTCTTTCATCTCTACCCTTGGGATGCAGTGCGTAGTTTATCCGGTAGGAGAGAAGGTTGGCGATCTCTTGTTAAACCCATATTACGAGTAGCATTGATCATTGACCGGAGAAAACTGCGCAGATGTGATAGAGACCAGCAGTTGTATTCGCATTGACAAACTCGCTGGAAGTGGGAACGTTACGTAATTGGCACGCGTATCAGAGCTCCATTGACAACACGGTTGTCTGGTATTATTGTCTGGTATAAGGGCGACTCAGTGCTCACTGGGGAGATATCTGCAAGTAATGAGCATTTACAGTCAGGCGCGGCCCTGATCCCTCACCCTGTCTCTCCCAGCGACCCGCCCTAACCCCTCCAGCGCCCATCTCGTATGCTGACTGAGCGATCGGGACCGGTGCCGATGAAATTCAGCCTAGCCACGTTCCCAGAGCGTCCACATTGATATTCAGCAAGCGCCAATTGGCAAATTGCCAGACTGCGATTATGTTCGATTTTGGACCTGAACGGATCGGTGGCAGGCCGAAATTCGTTCAGCTGCCGTTTGCATGCAGCGTCACGGAGGCACTGACCCGCCGGGGCAGCACGTGCGAAATCACTGATGGCTCCCGAGGTCACCTGAATGGCACTGTCGGGCAGCCTTGGAGAGGGGTAGAGATCGGGACTGGTATTGGCTGTCTCGGGATAGGCACCTACGTAAAACCATTGCGCAGTGATGTAATGGGCGATGGTTCCCAGGTGGTTTCATCCAACTGGCTAGCTAAGGAGGAGCAATAAGCTCACAGTTATCTGTCTCCACCACCCCATACGTATATTTAATCGACCTGAGCACCGAGGCACCTCCCGCTGTATGTAGAACAGATATTAGATGCTTTGACACATTTGCCGCATTCGTTCCTAGATAAAAAGCCCTTCGAATAGTTCCCACCACATCCTGCCTTTCCCCCAGCTGGTGACCAAAATAGGTACTCACAGACTATCGGGTTTGGTTCCGTCTTCGCAATGTAGATTTATTACTTAGACATGGTCGAAACTAGGAGACACATGCTGTATTATGCATGATACATCGAAGAAAAATATCAACAGTCAGTTCGGCCTTATTCTAAATGCACATTCGTAAATCTTGCATCACTCATCAGGATGCCATGACCTGATAAAACATGAGAAGATTCGATTATGTATGTATGCCTAAAAACCAATAAAAATAAGACAATATATGCTATCATATCAACAAAATATAATTAGCCAACGAATTCACCATTCGTGCAAATGCTTTCAAACCAGAGGTCGGCATGAGAGCCGGCGAAAATAGAGAATACTCAGCTCCGGGGGAAGTCCACTTTCCAATCGCTTGCACTCATGAGTCTTGGCCCCCGCCGTCACATCATCAACTAAACTGGCGCAGTGAATGAACCGCAACGAGCCGCCATCTCTCCGGAGATTCGGAAATCATTCTCTCAAGCAGCTCACATTAGGGAGATTTCCTCCATTCCCGATGCTATCCATCACCAATGGTATAGCCTCATGGAGGCAGCAGTGGACCGGACGACTCCGACCGGGTACACCAGGCGCGCCTCGCCCGCGGCCGCGGCAGAGTACACCGGGTGCACCTCGCCCTAGGTATCGGTAGGATTAGAGGCCGCCGATCTCAGACAGGGGCGTTCTGTCGTTCTCCCGACAGGAGCGTCAGGAGAACGCTCCCGACAGGAGCGTGCTCCTGACGCTCCTGTCGGGAGCGTTCGGACTTGAGAGTGGCGAAGAGCTCTTGGTGGTAGCGCCCCAGGTGTCCCCACAGATTGCTCGTTGAGTTGTTGGAGTAGGCGACGATGGCAGCGCACATCTGGCACTGGAGTCGGCCCTCGGCTCGGGGGTTGAAGTAGGACCACACCTGGGAGCGCTGACGCACCGGCGGCGGAAAACCCACTGCAACAGAGCGAGGCCAGAGACATCTGGTGGGTGCCACGGAAACCCTACAGCAGTGACATCTGGCGGAGCGAGAGGGAGCAAACCTTTGAACCAAAATCTACGGACCTATTACACATTGTAAAGGTCAAAGGGTACGAAATAGTGACTTGAGACGTTGAAACTGATCATTCTGAGAAAAGTTATTGCGACTATGAATTGATCACCTCTGTTCAAATTCGAGCATAAGTTATATCTCACGCATTTAACTGCTAGCCAACAACTGAGTTAAAAAGTGTTCACTCGCGAGCGTGACCTCAACTACAGCTACCAGACACCAAACAAGGTTCACGCTCTTTCTATTTACATACCTTGTCCCGCACGTCGGCCTCAATACAGTACCAGTCATCAATGCATAGTTAAATACAATCCAAAGGATGCAAGTTATGGCATGTGGATGTGCAACCACGAAAGCTATAAAAAAAAATCGATGATGGAAAACACAAAGCTGGCACCAGCCTTGGCAAAGCTCTCTAAATAGGTCAGGCGAAGCCACTCCCTTGACAGAAGAGGGAGCGGAGTTTCCCTGAGCTATGGATGACTAGCATCCTACAGCAATGATACACGACCTCGGAAAAAACAACTGTCTGACCTGACAATGGCAGGGAAGAGATTAAACGAGTGGGCGGCTCAGTACCAGAAGTTCAGCGACAACACAAGCACGAAGCAACCAGCTATCTACACGGTGGGTTCGGTGGGCAAGAAGCCATCAGGCCTCGGCCAGGGTGCGAACAAAGCACCCTTCATGCAGCGACAGGGGCACGAGAGTAGGAGGACCAGCCAAACACACACAGAGTGACTGACTGAAGCTGCCGCACCGTCATCCACATCGGCAGTGCATCCGATAGGGGCTGTATCGCTCTACAACCAGAGAGTTCTCGCTACTGCCACTGACCGGGCAGAAAAGGAGCGGATCTCAGACACCGTCAGTTTTCGCTCGGATCACGTCAGGGCCTGAGAGGAGGCCGGCGCAGCCTCTTGAGTCAGCGGTGGCGAAACCTCCTGAGACACAGGCGGGGGGAGCAGAGCCGGTGGCGGCGGCAGTGCCGGAGGCGGCAGCTCCGGTGGCGACATCCAGGGCGTCTCCGCCGCGCCGGGCTGCTCCGGCTGCCCCATCCACACGGCACCGTCACCGTCCGCGCTCCGTCGCTGCGCGGCCAGCCTGTGCTCGTCAGCGGGCGCGGGGCGCCGGCGGCCGGCCGCCTCTCGCCAGGAGCCCGCCAGCGCCGCGTGCTGCCCGCCGAGCGCCGCAATGTCGGCGGCGTGCAGCCGCTTCAGGTGCACCCAGAAGTTGCCGCTGGAGGTGGGCGCGCCGCGGATGACGCGTCCGCAGAACCGACACGAGGCGGTGGTGTCCGAGAGACGCACGTAGTACATCCAGACGGGCGGCCGGGCGCCGGGCCGGGCCGGCCGCGGCGGCGCTGGCACTGCGTCTGAAACACGGCCGACCGCACTGAGCTCAGACGCCGCCGCGGACCGCCGACCGGCACCGGGCCCGGCACCGGCCACCCGCACCGACTGGCCGACAAGTCCAACAATATCACCAGTCCCATTCTGCCACACTGAGCTACACAACTCGGCACCAGTCTCCATCCGCCCGACTGACCTACGCAAGCCAACGATAACAACAGTCCCCAACTCTCCGACTCAAATCTAGCATAAAGCAGTCATCATCCACATTACCCGCTCCGATCAGAACTGACCCCGCCGACCATCACCAATGCTTAGCCCAAACCGCCCTATCTGACCCTGCCACTGCTCAGTGCCCAGTCAACAACCATCGGCCTCGCCCAACCTGCCTAATCAGTAATCACTCCCATCGTCGCCCATTACCAACGGAGCCCGCAACTGCTGAAATCGAACTCCTTGGTCTCCAGCCGACATCCAATGCGAACTCCCAGCTGGGGAGGCGCATAGGGCGACAGGGATGTACGAATTACTGCACGGACTCTCTCGGGGCACAGATACGGGTCTTATGACTCGCACAACGCAGTGTGGAAATGTGGTGAGTGGGAAAGCAAGAGAGCGGGGAGGAAGGCGCTTAACGAGGGAAGGCGAAATGAAAATTAAGATAAGAATGTCCCTGAATGGAGGAGGAGAAAAGTACCTATCCAAGCTAAAGAGAATGCATATGCAGCTTATCACCCCCGTACCAATGCGAAATCAATTCTTAATCAGCACTTCACGCATGTATTCCAGGCTCAATATGAACGGTTCATGCGTCCTCAGGCACGTAAAACGATCAACAACTACCACACAGAACGACTACCTGCGTCTGTACAGTTGCCATCAAATGATAGATCGTAGTTTCGCCATTAGGAGTTGTGTGTGTGTGTGTGTGGGGGGGGCTTAGAATATGGCAACGATTTCCATTGAGACGATTGACAGCACACGCAATGCCAGAGTATACAGGACATATCGCACCGTACGCATCCAAGGCACGGATATAACAGGTAAACGGCCGTCTGATAATTATCAGATTCAAGCAGCAACTCTTCCAAAATGGTACAGGGTCCTACTGTGAACCACATCTGACAATAAGTGACAAGCAAAAGGCATAAGTTACAATCTGTTTTGTAAACATGCGTGAACCAAACTTTAATAAGCGTGTCAGGGTTATCTGGAACCGATATCATTGAACAGGCTATGCGAAACTTGCTCAACAATAAAAACATTAATGTGATCGAAAGTACAATTGTAATACAAGACTACGTGTAAAATACTTGGATGATGGTTACGCTAACAGAAACTCATACGTCATAAGCATAGGTTGTGTATTCCATTTGAATTTGAGTCCTGCATAAATCACATTCTTTGGTAGCTCGCTTTTCAGTCAGTTGAAGGGGGCTTGTCCAGGGACACAATAACTGCGAATCTGAACAAGCTGGTCACTGGCCAGAAATACGTAAATTTTCCAACAAATGCCACGCCGAGCATCGACAGCCAACGTTGTCATATCCTGGCCAACTCATCCTTCCAAATATCTCGCGGATAAGCTGGATCTTAATTACCCTGAGAATCAACTGCGCTTCATCTCCACAAACGCCGATAATACACAAATACATGATTCGGTAGAAAGACCCATTCTCTGCCGCCGTATAGCCAGCTAGCATCGAGCTTCCATGCTTAGCTGCTACCACTAATTAGTACAAATGATCGTAGTGCTTCTTTGCATATAAAACATGATAAACATTTCGCTTCACGTTCAGTCCGAACCGAGAGCCGCTACGACTTGAAGAACCAGTCGGTGTCGGGGACGGCAGCGCTGTCCCCGACCCGCTGCGCCACGGGGCCGGTGCTGGCCTCTGTCGGCGGCGCGCCCCACAGGCTGCCCGCCGACTCCGAGCGACACGGCGCCGGCTCCGCCTGCTGCACCAGCTCCGGGTGGCGCACGCGCATGTGGCGCCACATGCCCGACGTGGAGAGCTGCCGGTTCAGCCGCAGGACGTGGCCGCAGAGCCGACACAGCCGGTCCTGGCCGCTGCCGGTGAAGTACTCTCTGACCAGGGAGCGCGGCGGAAGGCCGGGCCGGCCGGCGGCCGGCGCCACCACCGCCGCCACCATCGCCGCCGCCAGGCCGTCCGTGCCTGCAACACGGGCGAGCAGCGAGTCAGAGCGGCCCGGACGGCGACGGCGGCGGCGGCGGCGGCGGCGGAGGCACCGGGCCGGGAACGGGGAGCTGAGCCCCGCCCGCCAGCACAGCCGGTACCACAACAGGAACCGAGCTGCGCGTCATCATCACGACGGCATCCCAATCAATAAACGACAGCGAAGACTATCGCATCCGTGTTCGCTCTCCGATTCGGCAGACTATAAATGAAAGAACGCCTTAGGCTGGCAATTTTATCCCAGGGCAGGATGGATAATTCAATAAGCACCATGTTCAGTGGATCAAGTGCTAACGGTATCACACTGTTCCAAGCGATCAGGAAGACATTCTCCTCCTCTACCGCATGTCTCCCATCACTCTCGCCACAGCTATTCGCCATTGATGTCCAGTCTCGTTCCATTCCAAGCATCTGCATTAAATGCGTCTGTCACATTTTGTCGCGCTTGCCACAAGTTATGGCCTTTCTCTATCAAAAAATCATCCCCGTGCAATGCTCAAACTATATCAAGTGTCTAAGATCCCCAAGCGGCTAGCAAATATACACAAAACTTTGAGAAGGCGGCCGGTCCACCAAAAAGTCCATCGCAGACAGGCAGGCCGTGCCCAGATAAACCCGACCCGCTCGTCATACCGCGAGTTGGAACATAAACAAAACCTTACGCCCCCGCGGCTGGCTTGCAGCGTGAGCTCTGAGAATTCAGCCTACGTAGAAATCACGTCCAATACATAGAAAAGGAAATACAACCTAGAAAGGACGTGCGCCAAGATAAAATATTCTTATGTTGTTTTTTTCAGGTAGTTGCTCCCGATGTGGGTCCGGTCATTGCATGCAAGCATCCTAGCTGTCCGAAGAGTGTGGACGGACAGGAAAACCGGAAGTCTATGCACAGAGGAGAGATCGAAATGAAGGCAAGATACAGGGACAAACTAGATAAACAAGGAAATATAAAAGAAAAAGGAAAGCTTTGAGAAAATGAACTAGTGACCCATTGGAAACCTATGAGAAAATAAACAGGTAGAAGGCTTCACTGGAAGGATAGAAGGCTGTGCTAGAGAGGCAGGGAAATGGTGCACTCTGGTGCACCGGAGACCGAGCGGAGGGCGTCATTGTACTCACTGGCTTGTGATCCTCCGCTGTCCTCTTGTGTGACCGCCATCAGGCCATGCGCTGAAACCAATACGCCATTACGCCAGGTCAGGCGATATATCTCACATAGTTACATGGCACGCGACACATATCGGCATATTGCCTGGTCTGTACAGGTGCGTTTTACATTTAACGAGGGTAAGTGGGCACTAGACACATTTGCACAACGACGCCAAACAGACGAAAGTACCAAACCTTGCCCATAACGATGATCACCACCGTTCCATTCTTCTCATTCTTTCAAGTTCTATGCTATTTGTTTTCTATTCTATTCTACCCCGCCCATACCAGCACATTTTATCTCAGCCCCTCCCAACACCCTGTTCCAGTCCCTCCCAGCCCTCTGCCCCGCTCTCTCACCCTCCGAGAGCGCCTCCAGTCCGGCCTGGTCCGGCTGCGGCTCCAGCATCTCCTCCAGCTCGTCCAGCATCGACTCCGGCTCCGGCTTCACAGGTAGGTCCAGGCCCATCGTCCTGTCGGCGCTGCGCTGCTGCTGCGGCGCCGGCGGCGGGGGAGGAGGCGGAGGACCGGCACCGCCCATCGGCCCAGGGTCTGGCTGCGGCTCGGCGCGCCGCCGCTTGGAGGAGGGCTGGTGAGACGGGGCGTCCGAGGATCGGGACCTCTCCGGGGTCTGCAACAGGTCAGGGTGGGGTTACGATTAGGTCAGGCTCATGAAGAGGTCACAGTACGGAATCGATGTTAGCGAAACAAAAATATAATACAGCGACACATGACGGTCAACGTGCGAAAACAAGTTTTTCATTGTTCCATCGAGTGTTCTAAAAACAACAAATACCTAACGTTGCTTCAACCTTAACAACTTTACACACATATAAACTTCAATGTTCCTATTACCGAAAACAAACATTTTTTTTTTCTGACAAGCGTTATCTTGTCCACTTTGACCACCATGCACCATTTACTGCACGACCATCTTCCTCAATAACCACCCCAGTCTCTCCCCTCCCCCAATCAGCACCGACACTAACGCGAGTACATCTCCCACCGTGCGACACCACCCACCTTCGCCGAGTTGCGTTTGGTCTGTTCGTCGGCCAGTCCCTGGATGGCGAACGTCTCGGCCACCTGCAGGAAGGCGCCCAGTCGCGCCTGGCGCACGTTCACCTGGCCACGGTAAATGAACTCGAGGACGGCACGCATCACGTCCCGCTCCACGGTGGGCAGGACGATCACCGGGTGCTGCTGCGGCGGCACCTCCTGTCGGAACGCACCGGGCGGGTGATACTCGGCAGGGGCAGGGAACTCCTGTTGGAACGCACCGGGCGGGTGATACTCGGTAGGGGCAGGGAACTCCTGTTGGAACGCACCGGGCGGGTGATAATCGGTAGGGGCAGGGAATTCCTGTCGGAACGCACCGGGCGTGTGATGGCAGGGGCAGGGAACTCCTGTTGGAACGCACCGGGCGGGTGATACTCGGCAGAGGCAGGGAACTCCTGTTGGAACGCATCGGGCGGGTGATACTCGGCAGGGGCATGGAACTCCTGTTGGAACGCACCGGGCGGGTGATAATCGGTAGGGGCAGGGAACTCCTGTTGGAACGCACCGGGCGGGTGATACTCGGTAGGGACAGGGAACTCCTGTTGGAACGCACCGGGCGGGTGATACTCGGCAGGGGCATGGAACTCCTGTTGGAACGCACCGGGCGGGTGATAATCGGTAGGGGCATGTAACTCCTGTTGGAACGGACCCAACACGGTGATAGGCGGTTAGATGGCGGAGGTATGTCTCAACAAAAACTATGTGAGACGTGATGATAAATGGGAAGAAGAACAACGGCTGAAGAGGTTTGGCATTCACGGACACGCCCATAGCACGGGGTGCACCACAACAGTTCCGAGCCACTTACATCAAACAACTAACACTCAAGCTGCTAATAGTTGGAACTTTAACACCCCATGGTCGGTAATCATTCATGGTGGTGTGCACAGCTAGCGACCGAATCCATCCAGAGGCCCGAAATTTTCATACGGAGTATGAACAGGTGTCTGGGCCGCTGAATACAGCTTCAGAAGGTTGGAAGATGACAACAACAAAAACCAGTGGCAACAGGCATAACACTCGCTCACCTTGAGTATGTCCTTGAAGTGTGCTGAACAAGCTGAGAGTATGACCCTATGTGCCTTGAACAGGTGCCCGCCGCACGAGAGAGTGACATCTGTGAATGAGTCGTCACCACGCAGCGCCTCCAGCGACATGTGGAAGCTGCTGTGGAAGTCATTCCAGCGCAGACAAAATTCCTGGCTCTCAGACATCCTGGAAGAGGGGAGGCCGCAGGATGGTTAGGTCAATGGCAAGTTGGCGTGTGGTTTACCTCTAGTGTTTTTCTAAACTAGATATTTGAAGTTGATCATATTGATATGGTCATTGATGTTAAAATGCATAGAATTAGGTCTACAAGATACTGTTTTTGCAGCTTTTCTTGAAAGCCAGGATCAGGATAGAATAATATTCAATGAATGCATATCAATTATCACATATCAGTTGGGGAAACTATGAGGCGAAGATAAAAAAATGATTGGTAAATAAATGGACCTTTGATGACCATATATGGGCATAAATGCAGACCCGCTACTAAGGGTGAAAAACGGTATAACAAGCCGGTACTTGCGGTATGGTATCGCTTCAACCTATCAGAGAGAAAAGGCTTCCATTTTCCACTAGGAATTAGTGTGATTTGATTAAATTGGGCGAAGAATTGACTCGAAAATGGCGATAGGAAAACGGCTTTTCTTCTGCAAGTTCTAGGCGTCACAATCAGCTGCCCATTCAATAAATGGATTGGTGTTTTGAAAGAAAATTGTTGAGGGCTGGATGAGATCCTCCCAATAGTCTGACCGAAAATGGTTGATTCAACGCATGTAATTATTTAAAAATTCGATGTAGAATATGACATGAATAAGCACCTCAACGGTCAACTTGAACTTTAAACCAGAGAAGGGACCGAAATTGAAATTGAAATCACCACATTGAATCACATAAGAAGGAAAGCCTCCTAACAGGTGAAATGAAAGGAAGACTGCAATGGCTTAAGATAAGAACAGTAACGTATTTGAAAAACATATATAAGGAAAGCCATCAATACTTAATTTAAACTTACTTATCTCAAAACCGATCCCTCTGACTAAAAGCGTTTGCATTTATTAATTATTTGTACAGTGGAGACAATATATACAGTTATGGCGCAGGTGATTCGATAGATGATCAAAATAATAGACAAAAGGCTACAAAATGATAATAGCACGGTGGTTCTGAAATGAACAAACTTTTTGTTGTGAGCTCATTTATTTCCTAGTTCCTACTTCCTACCATTGCTTTGCTAATAATTTTCTAGATTTTAATTAATTTTAAAAATCAGAACGTTTCGCCACATTTATGAGTCAGTATTCACCGTTTTTTAATATTAGTGAATAGTGGCCCGAGTGGGTACCTACGAGAATGAGTTTGACTCCTACGAGCCCTGCAGGGCTCATTTGGCGCATATAGAGAAATGTCGGTCGCCAATTTAGCCTGTTTATGTTCTTATTTTGATCATTAACAACCAAAGATTATTCAAAAACGATTTTTTTTTCGTCTTATAAGTTGCAAACTATTTTACAACTGTTCATAAGTAGATCAAGGGTATACGCCATATATGGAAGGCTTTTGATGTCAATACCTACCTATACAAACATACACACATAATTACATACATACATACAAACATACCTACCTATGGTAGTTGTATCTGACAAGTGATAGGCAGCTACGAATTTCGGAGCGATAGGCCGTACCTATACGGCCGGGCTATGTAGGATAGGTACATATATAGGATTACGACCGTTAACGCCGCTGCTTAGCACAGTTTTGAAGCTTGCTGACCGATCGACCGCGGGCATCTACTGCTAGAAGCACCATCACGAGCCACGACCAACAGCAGCTGCAACTAAGGGTAGCAGAAGTCGCTGAAAGTCGCCGACAATCCGCAAAGTTGGCGACTCCAACTATCATGCAGGCCGAGCTGGGGACTAGCCAGTCAGACTGCATACCTCTTCTCCAGGATCGCATCCCTTAGGTACACATGCTGGGGCACGACCCTAACCCGTTCTATGGGCGCGGGCTATAAAAGGCCGTGTAGCCCGCAATATGGGTGCATAGGTATGTATGTAGAACGCGGGCCCCGAAACAAAATACTTTTAGATTATATCAACATCCCTGATAATGTAAAGTGGGAAGGTAGGAATTTGTACCAGCTCCTTGGCAGACCATTCACAAAGAATCTCCTGCCGACCATGGACAGTGGCCAAAGACTAAAATATAATGATACCTAGAATATGAGACATTGATGCCTCAGATTCTGCACCAGAACCTATATGTTTACATATTTCAGTACGTTTGAGGTATCACACACGCTTGTCGTTTACATTAGGCCCGTTTTTTTTTTTTTCTCGAAGATTGCAGCAGGGCAATATCAAGTAGGTTTACCCTGTCGGTGTTTATACGAGTATACACACAGAGTTGACAGAGTGCAGTGCTGTCTGGGTCCGGGCAGACATGTTCGGGCAGCCGGGACAGACAGTTGTCTCCCGACGGCGCACCATGTCCGCCGGACGTCGGGCCGCTCTGCTGCTGACGCTGGCGGCCCTCGGCAGCCAGGCGCGCATCCAGCGGCGCTGTTTCTCGCAGGGTCTGGAGCGCTACTTCCAGGAGGGTTCCCAGTGGACAGAGCCGACCTGCCGGCGCGGCCGCTGCCTGCGCGGCAGGGTGGTGCTGGACGACTGCCCGCCTCTGGTCGATCCGCTGCCGCCCGACTGCCACCCCGCCGCCGGCCAGAGCGACGCGCCCTTCCCCGACTGCTGCCCCTAACTCGAGTGTCACCAGCCCGACCAGACCTGCTATGTGGAGGAACTCGATCGACACGTATCCGTCGGGGAGACCTGGACGCTGCCCGGGTGCGGCCAGGGCACATGCAGGGAGGGAGGGGCCGTCTCCGGTAAGGGATGCGGCCTGGTTGGGATTCCTCCCGGCTATCCCTGCTCCCTGAACGACGGTGATGACAGTTTGGAGTATCCCGAGTGTTGTCCAAGAGTCACATGCCCTGAGTGTTACTCCGAGATCCTCGACCGCTTCTTCGGGCCTGGAGATACCTGGACAGGCCCAGGCTGCACAAAGGTGAAGTGTGGGGTAAGTACTCTGGAACGGTGGATATCAAAATGAGATGTAGGTACCGATTTCGTTTATACAGCGCATCATCGTCACGACTCCATAACTTCCGCAACCACGTCCTGTCCGGGGGAAAGGGCCCACGAGCCGAGTTAAAAGCGGGGTGTTCAAAAATACTCCCCAGCAGGACGTGAAACTCCAGGACCCCCAGCGGGGCGCAGGGTAAAAGCTAGATTCATTTTTGATGTTATCCCTGTACCCTGTGCGATGTTCTGGCATTGTATATGTGTCCCATCTTATATCGTTTCCAGGTGGACAGTGCGACCAACACGGTAGTTCTCAGCGCTGTGCCGTGCCCGCTGGCGGCCCCTCCGTTCCCGGACTGCGAGCTGGTCGACGGACCGACGTCGGCAGAGTACCCCGCCTGCTGCCCCATACTGCGCTGTCCAGACCGCTGTTTCTCCGAGAGTCTGGGCCGCTGGTTCTCCAAGGGCGACGAGTGGACCGAGGAGGGCTGCACCCGAGCCCGCTGTGTGGACACTGACCAGGTGGCCTTGCTGCCGTGTGGACTGGTGGCCGCCGACGGGCCCAACTGTCGTGTGGTACCCGGCAACGCCTCGGCCGACTACCCCGCCTGCTGCGTCTCTGTCGAGTGCGAGATCGACAGGCCCTGCTATGTGGAGGAGCTCGATCGACATTTTGCCGTCGGGGAGACCTGGACGCTGCCCGGGTGTGGTCAGGCCACCTGTGAACAGGGAGGGGCTGTCTCCGGTAAAGGATGCGGTCTGATTGGGATTCCTCCCGGCTATCCCTGCTCCCTGAACGACGGTGATGACAGTTTGGAGTACCCCGAGTGTTGTCCAAGAGTCACATGCCCTGAGTGCTACTCCGAGATCCTCGACCGCTTCTTCGGGCCTGGAGATACCTGGACAGGCCCAGGCTGCACAAAGGTCAAGTGTGGGGTAAGTACCTACTCTGGGACGGTGGATATCGAAATGAGATGTACCGATTTCGTTTATACAGCGCATCGTCACGACTCCATAGCTTCCGCACCACGTCCTGTCCGGGGGAAGGGGGGGGGGGCTCTGTACGATTTACACCACTTGGCTGCTGAATCCCGTATAGGAACAAGCGGTGAGCGGAGTCGAAAATTGTCAAACAATAAGATAAGTTTATTGGTCTTTTCTAGCATTCAAGGTCAGGTCCCAAGGTCAATGGAGTTAAAAAAGGTAATTTTTATTCATCTTTGCATTATGGAACAAATCGTCCCATAGATAATCAATCTGAGGTAAGTTGAAGTCAGTTAACCCTCGCCAGACCTATTGGTTTTCTACATACGCGCTGGCCGAGGGGGGGGGGGCGGGTACGACCCTCCCCCTTCGCCGTTTCGCCCCAGGTGGAGCTAGCGCTTCGCGGAAAAAAACGAGCGTGTGCGTCGTTACGAGACGCAGAGATTGATAGGGTAGTGTGGGGTAATTTGAACATATTTTTACGTCTTATCCGTTGTACCAAATTCCAGCTCAACCCTGGATGAAGAAAAACTGATTCAGTAGCGCAAGTGTCACTTGCTTTCACCAAGCAAGCCTCATTTTTGGACGAGCCGAGCATACCTTGAATAGCATAGCCTCTTTTCTCCACCAAGTCACGGTGTGTTCAAATTGCCCCACCGTGGGGTAATTTGAACATACTGCCTTTACCTGTCATAAAAACGATAGTCTCGCCAGCACCGATGTTGGTTGACCCATAAACAAATAGGCAGAACAATTCTAAACATACCTTCACTTGAAAAATCAACACAACAACAAAAATAACAGTTGCAGAGTATCAATATCTGCACGCTGCACTCCGGTCAGTTGAAAGAATTCGCCTCTCTTCAATTAACAGAACGTCTATCATTTTTGTCCGATAAAACCTCTCCCAACCTTACTGCATCTGTTATAGTGGTCAGGTGCCAATAGAAACCTGGACATTTGGAGTTCTGATTTTGTCCAATGTACAATTCGGAATTGGTTGGACAAAGGTAGCAGACTGGACAACATTGGACGATGGCTTGCTACACTTCAGCGCTTTTTATAAAGTAATCGTGCATAGCATTGATTGGCGACCGCGAACGGAAAGCTTGTTAAGCTCTCAATATAATAAACATTTTTCGGCTGGTAAAATTACATCATAAGCAATTCAAATGACATTTTTGAGTGTTGATTAATGCGCAATTTTCGGACATATTTGGACAAATGGCTGACTTTAACATTTTTGAACGGAAATCAACGAAAATACCGGACACTAGACGGATATTAGACGTAAATTTTATAAAACTGGTATCACTAATCTGCTACTGCTTTGGGTCGAAAATATTGGCAAAAAAAACTGGGAACGTTGTTTTTTCGGAGCTATCCCTGTTTTCACTGAAATTCTTACACTATGTTCAAATTACCCCACGCTAAAAGTTATTTTGACATATTTAAAAACAGTTTCAAAAGCAAATTTCTTGGATTGAAGGCACTGATTAGGTCATTGTACAACAAAAGCCGTTGCGTAATAGGCGCTAGCAATGCAAGATTTTGCGCTGCAATGAAGTTGCAATGACGTGTTTTTAGGCGTTTTTACTTGCGAAATTGATTTTTTACAGTGTGCGTCAACATCTTCATTCCCTGAAACTTTAACCCACGAGCCGCTGGGGGGGGGGGCATAAAGTTGCCCCCCTTTACGTTTTGTGAAATATCTCCGAAACCTGATGAGCTACGAACGTGAAACTTGGCATAGCTTCAAATGAATACCTAGGCAATGTTTGAGGAAAGTTTGGTGGTTGTAGCACCTAAGATGACGTCACAGTGACGTCATAAAGTTTTGTCGTTTTCCGATATGGACCGTTTCTGATGACGCTGAGCATGAAACTCGACTGTAAATGAACTAGACAGCACCTGCTGTCATCCTAAAACATATTACTACACTTCCATCTAGTTTCTGACCAATAATCGGCCCTTTATATTCGGTCCAATATATGTGATGTATCGTGAGGAATATGAGAGTCGCAAATCTATAATTTCACTTATGACGTCACTGTGACGTCATTTCAAATGGGATCGACACCAAATTTGGACACAACCTCGGCTAGGTATTCAGGAAGATGTGTGCAAAGTTTCGCTTCTCTATCTCTTTGCGTTGCGACGATATCGTCGCAGAAGTAAAGGGGGGGCAACTTTATGCCCCCCCCCCCAGCGGCCGGCGGGTGGCGCGGAGGCCCAGCGGCCGCCGGGTTAAACCCCGTTCATATGATAGCCCTTTTAGTTACGATAATTTCCCTCATTGGTCTTATTGTCATGCCACTTATGGATTTTCCGTAATTTTGTGTTTTTCACACTATGTTTGCCCCACATGTTCAAATTACCCCACCCTTCCCTACCCGATTTTAAGGTCCTAAGTCAACCGGTGACCTCTGAGGTCAGGTCAAGTGCCCCAAGGTACGGTTCCGTTTTTGGAGAATAACTTCGCAAAAAAATGGCCGCAGAGCCGCGATTTTGGCAGCATCGTGTTCGCCTCGCTCAGGCGCGCCAAATGATATAATTTTTATTTGAGTGAGGTCAACTTAGGGTGTTGACCTCAGGTCACGCACCTCCATGTCACGAACTTGGTTGAAGTAGGTCATGTCGCATATTATTCGATTTGGCAGGTCTTCTTGAGTCCATTGGTGGCTTTCCCGACTCGCTAGCTCAATTTGATAGGGAGTTATCCCGCGCCCCGCTGGGGGGGGGGGGGCAGAATCTGCCCCCCTCCCGTTTTTCGCCAATAACTTCTAAACGCGTTACGCCAGCCACGTCAAACTTTCAGTACCTTATCATACATCAATTTGACACGTTTCCTGAAAATTTGATCGAAATCCGTCGGAAAATTTTTGAGAAATTGACGTTTTAGTGACGTCATGTTCGCCATTTTCGCCTTAAAAACGGCAAAATTTCAAACGCCGCTAACATCTTCATTTTTTAAGGAATCAAGACGTAACAAAAAAGGTTATACGTGATTTTACTTTGTCTATCAAATGGCTATCTCGGTTTTTTGAAAACTTTGGATTTGGGCCCAATTTTTTTCTTTCAAAAAACTGACTTTTTTTGGGAAAATATTTATAAAATCCAAAATTTTGAGTGTATCGAAAAAACCGGAATATATGTCAAAGAAGTGGTCTATTTGCACCTACATACCAATTTTTAGAAGAATCGGTTCAAAAATGTGGGAGTTATTCAAATTTTTATGACGTCACGACAAACAAAAATTTTGAAAAATGATTTTTTTTTAAGTTCTAGACCTCGTACGGAAACAAAAAAAGCACCATTCGATTCGTCGTGAAAAACTGCATCAGATAGACACCTTTTTAGGCCTTAACAACCAACTTCAAAATTTGACCTCACTTGACCTGACCTTGACCTGACCTCAACCTGAAATTCATCCAGAGGTAGTCCATATCACTTATTGAGTGTGCCTATTGAATTCTATGAGTAAAATGACCCATAAAACATGTGTCGCACATGCCCTTTTCTATATTTTGTTTTTGGTGACCTGACCTGACCTGACCTGACCTTGACCTTGACCTTTGAATGACATTGTATGCAACGAATATTGTTTTGGTAGGCTAAGAACACGTTTTGGACAATCAGTCTCAGTCCATTCTTCGGCAACTACGGTGCAAGGCCGATACTGTAGGAACTTGCATTTTGAACCTGACCTTTGCCCTGACCTAAAAATTGACCGAAGTTATTTCATTTTTTTGACGCTCTTTCGAACGACGCCTACGTCGTCTTGCTACGTGGCTGGCCCACGAGCCGAGTTAGAAACGGGGTGTTCAAAAATACCCCCAGCAGGACGTGAAACTCCAGGACCCCCAGCGGGGCGCAGGGTAAAAGCTAGATTCATATTTGATGTTATCCCTGTACCCTGTGCGATGTTCTGGCATTGTATATGTGTCCCATCTTATATCGTTTCCAGGTGGACAGTGCGACCAACACGGTAGTTCTCAGCGCTGTGCCGTGCCCGCTGGCGGCCCCTCCGTTCCCGGACTGCGAGCTGGTCGACGGACCGACGTCGGCAGAGTACCCCGCCTGCTGCCCCACACTGCGCTGTCCAGACCGCTGTTTCTCCGAGAGTTTGGGCCGCTGGTTCTCCAAGGGCGACGAGTGGACCGAGGAGGGCTGCACCCGAGCCCGCTGTGTGGACACTGACCAGGTGGTCTTGCTGCCATGTGGACTGGTGGCCGCCGACGGGCCCAACTGTCGTGTGGTACCGGGCAACGCCTCGGCCGACTACCCCGCCTGCTGCGTCTCTGTCGAGTGCGAGACCGACAGGCCCTGCTATGTGGAGGAGCTCGATCGACACTTTGCCGTCGGGGAGACCTGGACGCTGCCCGGGTGTGGTCAGGCCACCTGTGAACAGGGAGGGGCTGTATCCGGTAAAGGATGCGGTCTGATTAGAATTCCTCCCGGCTACCCCTGCTCTGTTGATGACGGTGATGACAGTTTGGAGTACCCCGAGTGTTGTCCGAAGGTCACTTGCCGAGAGTGCCACTCCAAAGCCCTCGACCGTTTCTTCGCTCCCGGGAAAACGTGGACGGAACCTGGCTGCATCAAGACTAAATGTACCGTAAGTAAAATATTTCCTTTCTACTCAACAGGCATCATCTGCACAAGCAAGTTACAATTGCGGGAACTGAGCCGAAAATTGAAAAATGACCATATTAGTATCACATTTGATATAAATTCATATGAAGAATTATTACTGATTCAAAAAAAAAATATACAAATGGATAATTACTACATCCAATAGATGACTCGTTTACAGGGTAATTTAGCACTACTTAAGCTTAAAGTTGAGTTATGCTAAGTAGTTGAAATTCTTGGTTGTAAACATAAGTTTATAGGAAGGGTTCATCAGGGCTCAGTCATGGCGCCACCTCTTGTCATATTTTTATTGCCGCGATGCCTACAACATGGGCAGAAGTGGTTTGCGAGAAGGTGATTATATTGAGACTTGAGATGCTTTCGATCTACGTACATTTGTCAGCTAGACAGCTACCAATTTAGGTCTGAACTCATCAGCCGGCATCGATCTTAAAGCCAAAACGGTCATACCCGTAAAGGTAGGGAGCGATAACTGCTAAGTGATCAGTGATCACCACCTTTAGCCACTCTATGATCATTGCAATTTAATGGCTATTTGCCTTCACAAAACCTTATTTCTTCATCAGCATTTACAAGGGTCCTTTCTTTGGATTGTCACGAAGGCACATATAACTCAGTCTCAGTTCACAGATCTATCAATAACCACTTTGTACTGTTTTTGTCATTTACCTCCTGACTAAGCAGGCGACTAAACCGCTATGTTTTCAGTTGGACGAGCGTGGGTCAGCGACAATGAGCGCTGTGCCGTGCCCGCTGGCGGCTCCTCCGTTCCCGGACTGCGAGCTGGTCGACGGACCGACGTCGGCAGAGTATCCCGCCTGCTGTCCCACACTGCGCTGTCCAGACCGCTGCTTCTCCGAGAGTCTGGGCCGCTGGTTCTCCAAGGGCGACGAGTGGACCGAGGAGGGCTGCACCCGAGCGTTCTGCACCGGCACTGACCAGATCGGCATGCTGCCGTGCGGACTCCGGGCTCTGCCGAGGCCCGACTGTGAGCTGGTCTCTCCATCCGCCGGCGCCGAGTACCCCCAGTGCTGCCCGGTACCGCGCTGCCCGGGCGCCTGCTTCTCGCGCGGCCTGCAGAAACTGTTCGAGATCGGCAGCTCGTGGACCGACCCCGGCTGCAGGCACCTGGTCTGCATCGGCACCGATATGGTGGTCAACGACGAGCAATGCGAACTCGACTGGATCCCCTCCGGCTGCGACGTGGTCGACGGCAAGGGCGACACGTTCCCAGACTGCTGCCCCACTATAGAGTGTCCCGATCCGTATTAGACGACGCTGCCCCATTGCTGAGTGTGACAATGCGTGGACACCAGACGACGCTGGACTACGGAGTGTGACCATCCGCTAATCATTGTTAAATGCACGAATGATGCTTCTTTCTGTCTTTTATGTTATGCTTTGCAGCAAACAAAATGCAGTGCATTCTGGATGAAATGAAAATATATTCCTTTCATCGTTTTATTACTGGCATGAAGGAATTTGATCGGAGGTCGAAAAACGGGCCTTGGCCCTTGATGCACTTAAACTGTACGAGTATGTTGCAACGCACAGTGTCAATCAGAGGAAAGGGAAGGCAAAGCATGAACCCGTTTTTATTGAAAAAAAAAAACGTTCCCTGTGGAAAGCATATTTGAACAATAAATATATCAGCAAGGCTATACCGGGTGTCCACGTCAAAGTGTACCCAGACTTTTCTCCGTATTTTATCTTAAAAACAACACACTCACAAACAATTGCCCTCGTTTGAGAGCCAAGGCAATGGCAAAACATTTGTTATGCTTTTCAACTGTGTTCGGCACTCTGATGACCAGCGCGTGCCGTCTAGAGCAACTGCTCTATATGAGCCGCTTTGCGTCGGGCCACCGCCGGCAGACGGACCGTGGCATGTGAAATCCCACAATGCCCCGTGCACTGGGGATCCAATTGCCTAGAAAAAGCTCAGACCATGCCTCTGCACAGCAAGAAAGTATCGGTTTGGGTAGCAATGAGGCATGGAGGGGGCGTGCATTATCGGCCCTTTCTTTTTCGAAGACGACAGGGGAGAGACAAACACAATACCGTAACGCTAGAACGCTACGCCTCGGAGGCACTGGAACCATTCCGGCGAGAGCTGAAGCGGAGACGCGGGATCCGTCGCCATGAAGAATGGTTTCAACAAGACGGGGCGCCGCCTCACACCGCCAAACGGTCGCTGGAATTCCTGGAGGAGCGCTTTCCTGACCGCCACATCAGCTTGAAAAGCGCGGTGGAATGGGCTCCCCACTCGCCCGACCTCAGCCCTCTAGATTTCTTCTTGTGGGGCTTTCTCAAGGACTTGTGCATACGCTGGCAATCCAGGGTCGACCCAGGAGCTGAAAGACGTCATCATCGACGAGATCCGTCGCCTTCCTTCCCACATGGTTGACCAGGCGATCACCCACCTCCAGACGGTCCATCTGCCGGCGGTGGCCCGACGCAAAGGGGCTCATATAGAGCAGTTGCTCTAGACGGCACGCGCTGGTCATCAGAGTGCCGAACACAGTTGAAAAGCATAGCAAATGTTTTGCTATGGCCTTGGCTCTCAAACGAGGGCTATTGTTCGTGAGTGTGATGTTTTTAAGATAAAATATGGAGAAAAGTCTGGGTACACTTTTGACATGGACACCCTGTATGTGTTTTAGGTAGGTACACACCGCGCATTGTTTTGGTATCGTTATCTATCCGACTAAAACAGTGCTTCAACGGTTCAGACGAAAATGTGCCAGTACGAAAATGTCGCCAGTACGGTCGGTATGGTGATGACGTCACATCACCATACCGACTGTATTCCATCAGGGATAAGTGTCACAAAAAGCATCATTCGATTTTTGAGTTAAACATTTTCAGAGAAAAAGTGCTTTTCATAGTATGTTGAGTTTTCACTAAGCCTTATAGCATGCAATATGCTGCCAGCGTTCAGCGCGCCATGACAGCACATGACGCCAGCACTCAGTGCAACTGACACTAGTGCGACATTGCGCAGATGTTGCGGTATTGTTCCTTGGCGGATGGTCTGTCTGCCGTGTGTCTGCACCAATCGAGCTGTCACCGACCCGGACGACTGGACCACTTGTGCTGCACCGCTTCATCACGATACCGAGTGGCGTCTGTCCATCTCCTCCGGCCCCTGAGTGGCATCCACAGGCGGTTGTCACACCACGCCCGTCTCCAGAGAGTGACGAGCGCGTCATCGGCGGCAACGAGTTGGCGTTAGTCGGAACATCTGTGCGCGCGCCCGGGCGGTATAAAAGCCGCACTCTGCGGAACATCAGTACGACAGCAACATGTTCCGCCTGGTGCTCTCCTGTCTGCTGCTGGGCGCCGGCCTCGCCAAGCCGTCGCCGGGTGCGGTCTCTGGCAAAGTCCCGGAGATCTCTCCACGTGAGCCGAGCTACGAGGCACAGCCGCTGCCGAGGCGAAATGGCCAAACGAGGACCATGTACACACTAGATCCTGACACTTACTCCCTCAAATCTCCCAACTATCCCTACAGATACCCAAACAATGCCAACGTGACCATTACGGTGCGGGGAAACGACAATCAGATAATCTCTATCTCTTGCGAGAATTTCAACATCGAGAGCGCTATCTCCTGCAAGTACGACTACCTCTCCGTCAACGGCCAGCGCTTCTGCGGCTCCACCGGGCCCAACTTGAGCGGCACTGTCCTGGATATCGTCTTCAAATCGGATGAGGCCGTCAGGAGGACGGGTTACAAGTGTACCATCACAGTGCCGACAGGCAGCGGTAGCGGCAGCACGGCGGCCACCACCGAGGGCACCACCGCAGCCACCGGCAGCCCCTCCGGCGACCAGTGCTGCGGCGTCGCCAACCGCGCCTCCCGCATCGTCGGCGGCGTGCAGACCGAGGTCAACGAGTACCCGTGGCAGGCAGGTCTGGTCAGCACGGGCGGCAGCCGCACCTGGTGCGGCGGCACCGTCATCAACAACCGCTACGTGCTGACGGCGGCCCACTGCACCGCCGACCTGCAGTCGGCCAGCGAAATCCAGGTCCTGCTGCGTGAGCACCGCATCGGCACCTCGGACGGCGAGATGCGCTACAACGTGGCGCAGATCATCAACCACTCGTCGTACACGAACGCCTCCGGGTCCGGCTACGACTTCTCGCTGCTGAAGCTGTCGTCCACCATCGACTTCTCGTCACTGGACAACAAGGTGGCCCCGGCGTGCCTGCCGACCGGCGGAGAGTTCGCCAACGTGAGCGCCATCGTCAGCGGCTGGGGAACCACCTCTTCGGGCGGCTCTCAGGCCACCGTGCTGCGGGAGGTCACCGTGCAGACCATGACCAACGACCAGTGCCGTCGGGCGTACGGCTCGACCATCAACAGCAGCATGCTGTGCGCCGGTGACGATGACGGCGGCAAGGACTCCTGCCAGGGCGACAGCGGCGGCCCGCTGGTGACCGACGTCAGCGGACGCTACACGCTCATCGGCGTGGTGTCGTGGGGCTACGGCTGCGGCGACGTCGGCTTCCCGGGCGTCTACGCGCGCGTGACCGAGGTCACCAGCTGGATCCAGCAGAAAACCGCCGATGCCAGCCTCTGCTAATCACCTCTTATAGGAAATGACCTGCTAATGACCTGAATCAAGGACCTTCTATGGATGATTGGCGCTTTAGGGTTTTCTATCGTTCAGACAGTTTTGGCGTCACTTCTAAACATTACTTTTTACTTCTGAGTGGGGTCCCTTCTAATATAGTTTGCGGGAAACCTTGGTTGAAATAAATTATGTTTTATGCAATGAAGTGGTTTGAGTCAGTATTTTATTAAACCATACCAAAGGCTCTGTTACACCCCATCCGTTCGGAAAGAGAGAGAGAGAGAGAGAGAGAGAGAGAGAGAGAGAGGGAGGGAGGGAGGGAGGGAGGGAGGGAGGGAGGGAGGGAGGGAGAGGAGGGAGAGAGAGAGAGAGAGAGAGAGAGAGAGAGAGAGAGAGAGAGAGAGAGAGAGAGAGAGAGAGAGAGAGAGAGAGATAGAGAGAGAGATAGAGATAGAGATAGAGATAGAGATAGAGATAGAGATAGAGATAGAGATAGAGATAGAGATAGAGATAGAGATAGAGATAGAGATAGAGATAGAGATAGAGATAGAGATAGAGATAGAGATAGAGATAGAGATAGAGATAGAGATAGAGATAGAGATAGAGATAGAGATAGAGATAGAGATAGAGATAGAGATAGAGATAGAGATAGAGATAGAGATAGAGATAGAGATAGAGATAGAGATAGAGATAGAGATAGAGATAGAGATAGAGATAGAGATAGAGATAGAGATAGAGATAGAGATAGAGATAGAGATAGAGATAGAGATAGAGATAGAGATAGAGATAGAGATAGAGATAGAGATAGAGATAGAGATAGAGATAGAGATAGAGATAGAGATAGAGATAGAGATAGAGATAGAGATAGAGATAGAGATAGAGATAGAGATAGAGATAGAGATAGAGATAGAGAGAGAGAGAGAGAGAGAGAGAGAGAGAGAGATAGAGATAGAGAGAGATAGAGATAGAGAGAGATAGAGATAGAGATAGAGAGAGAGAGAGAGAGAGAGAGAGAGAGAGAGAGAGAGAGAGAGAGAGAGAGAGAGAGAGAGAGAGAGAGAGAGAGAGAGAGAGAGAGAGAGAGAGAGAGAGAGAGAGAGAGAGAGAGAGAGAGAGAGAGAGAGAGAGAGAGAGAGAGAGAGAGAGAGAGAGAGAGAGAGAGAGAGAGAGAGAGAGAGAGAGAGAGAGAGAGAGAGAGAGAGAGAGAGAGAGAGAGAGAGAGAGATTATGCACAATTATAGTAGTGGTGCTTCAATCCAACGAGATTAAATAAGTTCATTTTCAGCGCATTATAATACTGATGCTGCATATTAATGCGCATAAAGAGAAGAAACTTAGCACAACCACTGCACAAACTACAAACGTGCAACCAGTAACCACTTGGTACCTGCACAGAATTGTCGTCCTCCTGCCACAGACAAACCACAACAGCGTAGAACGACTGCAATAACTCACCGCTCTTCTAACACCGGCCGTCTGCCCGGCATGGGTAACCGTTCCCGACACAGTCCACAAAACACAGCGTCGACGCTGAACAGCAACTGACAGCTGGCGAGGCGCGGTGTAGGTAGTGCACGGCACTGGACGAGGGGTGGCGAGGTGCGGCAGGTGGCGCGCCCTGCGACGCGCCGCCGTCGCCGCCGGGACGTGCCGCGAGCTGGAACCTCAGAGGTAGGCCGCCGGTGAGCGCGG